CTCACCATTGGGAATTACAGCCTTAGTGCCTATGAGAATCCCAGAATCATCTAGGTTGAAAACAACCCTTAAAATCATTTAATCCAACAGTAATATATTTTGAATGGCTAAAATGTGATAGGATGATCCTACCTGGGAGGTAGATTAAGAAGCTGTATTTTTTGCATTTTGATAATAGGTACTGAAATAACATAGACAGAAACAAACAAACAGGAGGGGATGAATTGCAGAATGACAGAAGGTAACAGGGTTTTTTTGTTTAAGTTGCCATTTGAATCTAACAGAGCTCTTCTTGGCAAGACAATGGAAAAACAGATTTTTCCAAAATGTCTTATCATATCCAAAGGGTACAGGCTAGAACAACTAAAATTTTTAACCCAAACAAACATGTTCTAGAAGGCAGACCAATTAATTAGTTTTCACATCAGTACTTTTCAGCTGTGATAGTGAGAACTCTGCTGTATCACACTTGGTTTTATGTCTGACAGGAGGCAAGGGAGAGTTATTGGAAAACCCTGTATCTTGTACGCTTCATGATACCCAAATTGCTGCCAGGCACTGGATGATGGGGGGATGTATGATACAGCACTCTGCAACACATATGCTGCCTGTCTCAGACCAGTGGGTGCTGCCCACACCCCAGCGTATATCAGCCATAGGGCAAGTAGAAAGGCACAAGCATAGTTCACCCAATGCCTCATCTTGATTCAAAGACACTCTGTGCTTTGTTTTAATCAGGGCCTTAATGCTAAATCATACAAAGACTGTTTGTCTGCCTAGAGAACATTTTTTATCATCAAGAGAGTCATATAGAAAAGATTAAACAATTAAACACTGTAAAGGGTCTTTCAATTGGAACAGCTGGGGGCTCATGGCTCTCTCCTGTCGTGCATGGATGGGCTTCATTGGTCTGGAGTTGCCAAATGAGGAGGCTGCCATGAAATATCAACACTTTGTTACTTTCTTTTCCTCTGTCCATATTTAAAACAAATTGTGTTCAACCAAATTATAAATTAGCTTAAGAAGTTGGAGCTATAGCAAAAACAGATATGACCACCTCTTCAGGACAAAGAACTGAGTATAGTTTATCTGAACAAAATCTATTTAATTGCTTAGTAGGAGAACAGGACACACAAGTGTCCACAAAGCAAGTGGGCATCTTGAACATATGGTGCAACTCATTTTTGCGTCTCCTCTGCAGCACAGACTTAACCTTTGATTTGTGCTTCTAGCTCAGCTATGGCTGAGCTTGGTTTAATTCTCTCATTCCTATTTACCATCCCGCTTTTTCTTTGTTTCCACCATCAGTCTGCAGACAGAAAGCTGACCTAAAGCATGGGTTTAGTGCTGATCTTTCAGTCTTTTCTTCTGCTTGTTTATTCCTCAACTTCCAGAACTTTATACTCTCTTTTGTAACTTCTGATTCCTCTTGATTTTTCTTTTTTTCTATTGACCCTTACATGACTTGACCGGTAAGTCCCAACCATTTTCCAGCAATACTTTTTCTGCTCCTTGGGATCTCTTCTTAAATCTTGTTATAGGGAAGAAGAGTATGCAGAGAACAGGAATGAAGGAGAGGAGAGGAAGAGCTGTCTTCACCAGAAGCTTTTTTCCTTTTGCTTCACATACAGACTAATTCACCTTCTGCTTCACATACAGACTAATTCTGTACTGATCAGTGTAAATAGTTGATTAAAATAGATTAAATCAGGAAACAAACAAAAAGAAACCTATCAAACAACCCCCAAAAACTATGAAAATATATGAGAACAGCAGAATTTGTGATTATTAGTTACTCAGTTCTGATTTATCCCTGGTTAGAAGAGTGCATCTACATTTAAAGCGCCATTACATGTTATCAGTCACACTTTTGAGACAGTACACATCTTACCTTTACTGATCTTAGATCATTATCAAAATTATTTTTTAATTATCTGCTTTCATTTGGGGGAAATTCCAGATATGTCCTCATTTTAAAGTTTTATTTAAAAAATAGGTCTGAACTTTCATTGCTAGACAGTTAAGCTACCTAGAAGGAAACTTCCTTGCAAGAATTGTCTTCACACAGTTAAATACCGCTCTCTGTTGGAATTGTCCAATAAATTTTAGTTGTTCCAACTGACATTATCAGCAGGCTTATATACTTATATATCAAAGATGGTTAGGGCTGTTGTATTTAAACAGTCCTAATGCAAAACTGGATGATGTAATTCATGAAGTGTGAAAAACAACCTTGCCACTTCTATTGAAATACTCAAATGTCCAAAATGCTAGCTGAATCAAAGCAGAAACATGGATTAATTTGTGTAGCTTCTCCACATTGACTAGTCTTCCATACAAGCTTCTGTTTTGAATCCCGGTCAGCAAAGCAGCAGTCTAAATCTTCCGTAGATGAAAACCAGGGGATTTGTGATGAAATTCATAATTCTCTTGGAAGTATCTCATCCATGCTAGATAATCAAAGGCATAATATCTTAAACCATGCTTGTGCGAGTGTGAATAATATTTTATTTGCCAGCCCCCTTAGTTCCTCATAAGATGCTAAGGTCAAGTTTGCTCCACTGTGGGAGCGGTTAATGTGTCAGAGAGTTTTCAAGAAGCTCGGGGAAAAAAAAAAGCCTCTGATTCCACTCACTTTTAGAAGGAAACCATAGAGGAAACCTTGGCCAAGATCACTGTAGATAGTGTGAAAGTTTTTCAGCTGGAGAGATTGTAACACAAAAAACCTTCAGTAACTGCAGAGTAAGGAGATGATAAATATAGGGTGAAAAAAGGAAATTCTACTATTGTTAATTTAAGTCTAATTTATTACTTGTTCTACTTCTCTCTGTAGTTCCTTCTATATTAAAACTGACAAAATTGGGGTTAAAAATTAACTTTCCACTACAATGAATAAGACAGGAACATTTGCCATCTCATGCTTTTTTTGTTCTACTTGAGGGTTTAGGAAGACATCATAAGAAAATTTATTTTCCCCTGCTCTAAATTTATATAGCACATAATACAGTTGTCTACAGAGCCACATCATATCTAACCCAGAACATAAATGTTAAAAATATTTTTTTATCGGTTATAGGTTCTCAACATCATTTTCTAATGCACTGTACTTACCTGAGCTTTTTTAAATCATTTCATCCTCATCTCCTTCTCTTGTTAACTAACATAACTGATAAACTTAGAGATTTGAGGTTTTTTCAGCTCTTTATTGAGCTGTATGAAAGAATTGAAAAAATGGGATAGAAATCTCAGTTTTTTACCATTTTAGGTTGTTGAGGACTAAGATTTGTATTCAGATTGATTTTCAGTTACAATGGATCTACAAGTCAATAAAGATGCTGATAAAGTATGGTTTCAAAACAGCAGGATATTAAGAAGTCTGTATTGGAGAACAATTTGGATTCAAGAATAAGACTATTCTTTTTAAAAAAAGAGAGAGATTCAATACAACTAAAAGACATCAAGTGAAGCAAAGCTTTTACTATTGTTACGCTTTTACAATTGTTACACTTCTAATTACCATAGAATTCATTAGCAGTGACTAACTGGTTTATTACTTTGTTTTTCTCATTTGGAAACAAGTACATGAACTTGGTTCCAGGTGGTGAAATTTTATTTGGTCTGGCATAGGAAAGGAATTTTAAACTTTGTCATAGCAAAGTGCATGGTCCTTTATAAAAAGTTGTTCTAAGCTCTGTAATTCCTGCAAAAATTCCAGTGAAATGCAACGCATGATAAATGTCTGAGTGGCATCTTACTAAATCAGCAATCTTACAAAATCAGCATCTTACTAAATCAGCTACCTGGACTTCAGCAAAACCTTTGACACCGTCTCCCACAGCATACTGCTGAAAAAGCTGGCAGCCCACGGCTTGGACAGAGGCACTCTCTGCTGGATTAGGAACTGGCTGGAGGGCCGGGCCCAGAGAGTGGTGGTGAACGGTGCTGCATCCAGTTGGCAGCCAGTCACTAGTGGTATCCCCCAGGGATCAGTGTTGGGCCCGGTTCTATTTAATATCTTTACTGACGATTTAGATGAGGAGATTGAGTCCACCGTCAGCAAATTTGCAGATGACACTAACCTGAGGGGGAGTGTCGATCAGCTGGAAGGCAGGAGGGCTCTGCAGAGGGACCTGGACAGGCTGGAGAGTTGGGCTGATTCCAACGGGGTGAGGTTCAACAAGGCCAAGTACCGGGTCCTCCACTTTGGCCACAACAACCCCATGCAGTGCTACAGGCTGGGGACAGAGTGGCTGGAGAGCAGCCAGGCAGAGAGGGACCTGAGAGTTTGGATTGACAGGAAGTTGAACATGAGCCAGCAGTGTGCCCAGGTGGCCAAGAAGGCCAATGGCATCCTGGCCTGTATCAGGAACAGTGTGGCCAGCAGGACCAGGGAAGTGATTCTTCCCCTGTACTCAGCGCTGGTGAGGCCACACCTGGAGTACTGTGTCCAGTTCTGGGCCCCTCAGTTCAGGAAGGATATTGAGGTGCTGGAGCAGGTCCAGAGAAGAGCAACAAGGCTGGAGAAGGGACTTGAACACGAGTCCTATGAGGAGAGGCTGAGGGAACTGGGGTTGTTTAGCCTGGAGAAGAGGAGGCTCAGGGGAGACCTCATCACTCTCTACAGCTCCCTGAAAGGAGGTTGTAGCCAGGTGGGGGTTGGTCTCTTCTCCCAGGCAACTACTAGTAAGACAAGAGGACATGGTCTTAAGCTGTGCCAGGGGAGGTTTAGATTAGATATTAGGAAGAAATTCTTTACAGAGAGGGTAATCGGGCATTGTAATGGGCTACCAGAGAAGTGGTGGATTCTCCGTCCCTGGAGGTTTTTAAGATGAGACTGGATGTGCCACTTAGTGCCATGGTCTGGTAACCACGGTGGTGTTGAATCAAGGGTTGGACTTGATCTCTGAGGTCCCTTCCAACCTGGCTGATTCTATGATTCTATGATTCTATGATTCTATGATACTGGTGCTGAACACAGCTCTGGATTAGGTGGAAATGAGCATGGCTCTTGCTTGCCACAAAGTTACACATTTCAGAACCATCCAGCAGAGGAGAAGTGCTTGATCTCAGGCTCCTGTGAGCAGAGGCTATCTCCCTAAATCCTATATAGGTCAGTCTGACAGGCAAGTGGTTCTTCCCACTCCCCTTCCATTTCTTAATCAGATGTCTGTGATCCTCACAGACAATAATCATGATATCTTAAGCAGGGTAAAGATCCTTCCTGCTGGATTTTAAAAAGTATTTTTAATAGTTTATCTTCTATTTACCACTTAAATATGGAAATTTCAAAGAAGTGCACTCTAGCCAAAAGACTAGAGAATTTTTTTGGATATAGGATCAAACACTTCCATATTGCCTTGGTCAGAAGTCTGTGTAACTTCACTGTAGGAGAGTTGAAGGGAATATGATAAGTACACAGATCAAGACTTCCTTAAATACATTGTTGATGCAGTTACACAAAGCCACTGCCCAGAAGTAACTGCTGTCCTCCCGTGCCCTGATAACTGATTTCAACATTTCACATTTTATTCAGTTCGAACACACATTTTAAAAATACTGATAGAAGTGTTACCTTTTTTTTTCAGTGGCATGCAAGTAAATGCAAACAAAATGCAAATATTCATTTTCTTTCACTGCATTTCGGAAAATACAGACTTCTTTGACTCCAGTTGCAGAACTTTGACAAGGTTTTCTTACTCCTGTAGAAATGCATCCTCTTTCTGTCTTTGTCATGTATGAACAGATTCTACATTCATCAACCAACTGCTCAGCCTTCAGAATAAAACTCATAATCTTGGACTGCAGTGGTACAGACCTCATTCATCTGTCTGGATAAGCCAGGAAAAGGAAGCTCTGAAAAGAACATGGAAGAATAGTCACCTGTTAGTCTTCTTGCTAGCAATTCCTTCTTATTCACCTGTTTTTTTTCCCCTTCTGTATCTCAGTTTTCCTAGGTCCTTTCAACAAGGGTTGGCACATCTTCTCATTCTAAAGCTTTATTTCAGAACATCATTTAGTTCTGTGGTTAAGCCTCCCCCCACCCCCCAGGTTTATGTTCCTGTTTAAAGATTTATCTTTAATTATAAAATTATGTAAACTAATTTACACACGTTCGTGATGCTTCTGAATCAAGTTTCAGCTGCACTGAATGTAAACTGTACAATATACACTCAGGGGGATTAAATCTCTTTTTTTCTTTCTAATAACTTAAATGTTCTGGCTCTTCTGAATATGTAAATAACAAATGAAAAAGAAGGGGAGTCTATAGGTTCAGCATTTTCCCAGAGAGGGCCATCTGTAAAGAGCACAGATGACTCCTGTGGTGATAATAGCCATCATAGAGCCCTTGTGTGTGGGCCACAATGTTCTGCATCAAATTAACCAACATACCTACACTGTCATGTAGGGTAAACCAAGTCATAAGAAACTGCATGACAAAAATTAATGTTTTTTTGGGGGTCACTCAATAGTTATGGACTAAGATGAGAAGATATCCAGCCTGGACACCTTATTAAGTGTTCAAGTACACAAGCCTGTCTATACTGTTCCAGTACCTTACTGGGAAGTGATCCTAGTGCACTTCCTGCAGATTTGTATAGATGCAAAAACAGAAATCTACAAAGACACATAATGAGATTAAATGACCATAGAAATTATATAGAGTTATTTGGGTAAAATAATTCTTGAGATATTCAATAGTGAAGAAAGTGATTAATTCCTAGAGAATATTTCCATTTTCTATTCAAGATTTCCTGTGGGAAGACTTTGTTTCACACACTTTGATTAAAAAAAAAAAATCAATGTAATAAATGTAGTTTTTACTTTTCTTGGATTTTGCTGTTTGGTTGGGTTTCTTTTAATATTCTCTTTCTTCTCTTCCAATGTTTGCTACTGCATACTATAGTACTATAGAGGTACTTTTTGCTTTGTCTTTTATTTTGCCATACTTACTTCAACTGGTTCTTCAGCTGCAGAAAAGGTGCAGAATGCTATAGATAATGAAAGAGTAGAAGGGAAGGACATTTTTTTCATCACTTGTTATATTCGTACCATTTTGATAAAATGCATTTATGCATAAACCACTTTGTATAATTGTTTTTCCTTCCCTGCCATACACTAACACATTTACAAAATACTTCAAAAATCATTTTAAACCTTATAGAGAATTGATATTTGTTATCTCAGGCTGTGACAACAGTGTGATTTTTAGAACTATAGATGTTATATCCAGTCCTAGCATCTGATTTATAGGCATCTATAATATGCAGCTGTTGCATTAATTACAACCACTCACAGATACAAGAAAACAAGATTCTCTACATTATGATTAAGTTTAAGTTTAGGCAGACAAAAAGGTGATGTGATAGCTCTCTTTATTGTGTAATAATGGTGCAGACGGTTCTTCCTTTTGTGTCTAGTGGTAACTTAATTTCATGGTCTACTGTGTAACTAGACTCTATGGACTACTAGAAAGCATGTGAGAGATTAAATTATTGATGTCAGCATGTTCCTCATACAGATGTTTAGAGAGAAAGAATTACTTGATAAAACAATTATTGCCTTCTAAAACCATGAAGGCAAATTCATTCTCCGAGGCATAACTTTGGAGAAGCAGTAATACTGAAGTTACACCAGAACTATGTATCCTAATTTTTTTCTGTCTTGAAAGAAAAAATGACCTTCACCTTGGTTAGGGACCCTCTGATATATAATTGGGATCCCAGAATCACAGAAAGTTTGAGGTTGGAAAAGACCTCTGGAGGTCGTCTGGTCCAACTCCACTTCTCAAGCAGGGCAATCTAGAGCAGGTTACTCAGTACCGTGTCCAGATGGCTTTTGAATATCTCCAAGGATGGAGACTCCACAACCTCTGTAGGCACTCTGTGTCAGTGCTCAGTCACCCTCACATTAAAAAAGTGTTTCGTGATGTTCCAACAAAACCTCCTGTGTTCCTGCTTGTGCCCTTTACCTCTTGACCTGTCACTAGACACCACTGGAAACACATATAAACACACTGATGAGATCCCTTCTGGGTCTTCACTTCTTCAGGCTGAACAGTCCCACCTCTTTCAACTTTTCTTTGTAGAAGAGATGCTCCAGTTGCTTCAACTTGGTGGTCCTTCACTTGAGTCTTTCTAGTATATCCTTGTCTTTCTTGTACTGGGGAGACCAGATCTGGACATAGCGCTCCAGCTGTGACCTCACTAGTGATGAGTAGAGGGGAAGGATAACCTCCCTCAATCAGCTGGCACACTACCCCTAATGCAGCCCAGGATGCCATTTGCCTTTTTTGATGCTCAGGCACATTGCTGAGGCAAAGAAGACATTTATTGTATCAGCTTTTTCCATGTCCCATGAATCAAGCTGCCCCATCTTGTTGAGCGAGGAGCCTGTGTTTTCCCCAGTCAAACTTTTGTCACGGAAGCTCTGGGCAGAATGTGGGCTAAAACATACTAGATTCCTTCTGCAGTAGGGCCTTACTGCAAAATACTGCTTCCAAATTTCCTCACCCCCTCTAATTGATTTACTGTATTTTAAATTCTACTGCCTTTTTAGAGCCTGCTGCCAACAGGGGAAGTAATAATGCCCAGAGCAAAATTTATGCTCTTCTGTACATCTTATTGTGTATGCACAGAGACTGGCAAAACCTGCACAAAGAAAACCTTTAAATCTTTCTGTATAGTTTATGCACAGGTGCACTAGCCCAAAAGGCCACTGAAAAAAAATAAAGATATCCTGATGGAAGACGTTTTTTCAGCTGAAACCTGGTGGCCTTTTAGGATTTTTTTTTTTTTCCAAGTCATGGTGAAGTTAGCTAAGGAAGTCCTTGCTGAACGAAGGGGAGGATGTTGTCACCAGTTACCCTTTAGCAGACTGCCTCCAGCAGTGTATCCTTGGCTTCCTCCTTCCAAGTCCAGGACAAGAGTTTATGCAATCCACATTGTAAATTTTTAGCAATGTTTGGTACATAACAGAAGTGTGTGAAATGAAATGCATCCTAGTTAACTAAGAAATTGATTTCAGTAACTGGAATAAATGTTTGCTAAAAAAAAATTAAATAAATATGTACTTGCTGGCAGGTATTTTTGGTGTTTGTTAAGAAGGTAGGGAACTTTATGTCTCATTAACTTTGTGCGTAAGAAGATCATTAGTACAATTGCACAAGCTTTGAGTTTCTAACTGAAATGTGAGTTCTTGGTTGTATAGATCTTTATCTGAAGAACGAATTAAAAGATAAACTTCTGCTTTATGTACTAGAAATCCCCCACTTTTCAGTATTACCAGGGAAGATGAAGGACTGTCGGGCTATTGTTCACGGCAAGGTTTCTGAAATCTGTGGTCCATAGGTCTTTGTTCCTTGGTAGGACTAAGTTGCATCTGGAATTGTATTTGGTAGAATAAGAGCTTTGAATATGCAGCAGCCCTAGGGATCCACCTCCCATAATTTTTGAACTACAAAATCAAAAATAAATTATCCAGCAACAGACCATGACAGAAAATCTGGACCAATATTAGATGAACTGGATCCCACCCACTGCTTTTTCTCATTGTGATTACTGCCATCATCAGAGGAACTAGGAGACCATTACAAAAATAGGCATTTGGGTGTAAAAGAGAATTACTATTGTGCTTAACAAGAAACAAAGAAGAATAAAATTTCATCATATGCATAGAGAAGAGTGTTGGCCTTTTAGGTGGGAACAATCCTGTACTGTTTTATAATGTTCAATACCTGATGAACTAAGAGTCAAAACCAGCTGGATGGTTGAAGAGAGACTTTATAGATACTAACTCTTATAATACCATGGTATCAGTTGATGTTATCAATAACAATGAATTCTAAGATTAAAGTACAGAACAATGAAAATTTAATATCCCATCCAGTCATTATGGAAATACTGTACAGCATATACAATGAAATGATCATAATTACACCTGGACACTGCCTAATTACACCACACCAAATTTAAAAATCTACATGCTATATGTTGACTTTTTTTTTGCTACTTTGTTTCTTCCCCCCCTTCCCCCTTAAATATATGTCTAACGCTAAGTGAAGGTTAAGGAAACTCCAGGATCTATATTTGCTATATTTGGCTATAATTGACACCTGTTCCCTGACCTTTTCATGGCTTTTGCAGAGCCTAAATTGGATTAAGAAAATACAAGAGCAGATACCTGCCAAAGGTAAACCATTTTTACTTTTTTCCCTATCATAATTTCCTTAAAAAAACAAAGAGAAAAAACCAAACCAGACATATTATTTTTCCTTTCTCTGTTATTCTGAAGTAATAGTACAGGTTTTTTTCTTTTTAACTCCCTGAATGTACAGTCAGTTTTTCCTACTTCTTAGAATAACTGAGCACCATGCACTGTGCTGTTTTGTGGATTTCCATATGCCATCCTAAAAATTGATCTCTCCTGCAATTACTGTGTGAAAATACCATGGCATTTACTGTAAGTGAAGGATTTGTTCAATTGCCTTCGTGGAGAGTTTCTCCATTCCTGCTAGGATCTCTAAATTGGCTGGTTTTTCACTCCAGAACTGCTTCACTATTGCATGATAAATGCTACCCTAGACCCAAGGAACCAGACCGCTTAATTGTCTAGATGCCTAATGATAACACCTACTATAAAAACAGTTTTTAATTATCATAACATTTTCTGCATTTTTAATGATACTAATGATTGAAAGTTTGGCCATATTATGAACATGCGGTACAATAGATTACAAAACTCCCAATTTGAAAACATAAAAAATAGTTTTCTGATATGGTAAACAAAGAAACCAAAATGGAAGGCATTTGAAAATGTTCAGATTTCACATTTTCAGATATTCAGATTTGCATTCAAATCATGACACTGATTTTGAACCATGTATTTAATATTTTGTTTCAATTTTTATTTTCTAGATTTCAAAATGGAAGTTTTGCCTCTGAAAATATGGATTGGGAAAAGAAAACGAAGCATGTAGGAAAGTTAAAACCTCCAAACAAGCATGTTCTTCTGTCAACTTGGACTTCTTGTAAACCATCAGATGTTGCCAGTTTTATGGCAAAGGTATCAGACTTCATAAATTTCATGGATTCTAAGTGACTGAATCCTGAGGTCAAATGAAACGAAAATCTTACAGATTTATCATAAACACTCATATATTAAGAATTTACCTGAGGATTTGTTGAGTGTTTTCTTACTAGAACTGAAAGTGGCTCAAACTAAAGGTCTTGGGTGAAAAAAAAGAAGTGGAAACCATATGAAGATTAAACATTATTCACAGCTTTCACAAATAAAACATTTAAATTTTACATAGATTATTCTTTTAAGATGAGACACAGTGAACCATTCTTGCTTTACAGAACTCAAGTAGGTGTATCACTGAACATATATCAGTATGCTACAGTAACTTTGCAAATATCTCCATCTAATACTTTGTTTTTCTAATACTGAGATGGAGCTTAATTCTGACAGGCTGCATTTCTCCTGGCATAAAGGGATAGCATAAAAATGATAAGTAAGAGGCGAGGGAAATCTTGTTTGTATGTAAGTGAATACTTACGCAACACCTTCTGAGGATAGCAAGGTAACAGAGGTTGCAATACAAAAGGATATGGAGAGGGCAGATGTGTTGGGGAGAGCAGATGCGTCGCAAAAACCTTCTTCTGAAGGAACACATATTACAGATTCAGAAAGGTCCAAAACCAAGAAGTTGTGACACACCCCTATGAAGCACCATTCAGCTCATTTCTGCTGCAAATTCTTTTTTGAAGGCCTTTCAGAAACTGCAGTGTGCTGGAACAGTCACTATTTTAATTTCCCCTGCCCTTGCTAGTCCAGCACCTATAATAAGGTAGCAGGACCCAAAACTGTACCTCCAATAAGTCTATTTACACATAGAAACTCTGGAAATAAAGGTGAGGCAGAAACAGCCTAGAGAAACCAACAATATCTAGGAAACACAGAGAGCATAAACCAACAGAAGCTTCCCCTGATAATTATTGTTTTATTCTTCTACTACAAGTTTCAATGAAATTATGAGCAGGTCAAAGTCTAGACGGTTTAAGAACATTTACCTAGGAGACGATAATACTTACCTGCTATGAATGAAAAATTAAATAATCACTTTGGATTTTTCTTGAGTAAATTGCAATTTCTGAAATTCAGGGCTTGATCAAACATGCAAACTGAGAAAATAGCCTCTGCAAAGCTCTTTGCTCTCTTTGAAAAAGAGCTTCAAGCACTAAAATAATGATGTACTAAGCAATAGAAGAGGCATTTTCTCAAACACTACATCTTGCAGGCTGCAATTTTCAGTCTGCTCAGGGACTCTTGACCATGCAAACTAAACTGAACTATTGCATGAACAATTTAAAAGGTATGGATGCTTTTATCCAAGCTGATACTCTAGCTGAAACACCCAAAATTAGATCATTTTGCTGGCACTATCCTGTCTACCTGTGAAACTCTCCATGGCTATTTGAGTTCTAAATTTAAAAAGGAATTATAGGGTCTAGGCAAAAGACAGAAACAAAAGAGATATTGAACTATTTTAAGATTACTAAAAGTCATATCTGAAAGTAGGTATCCTGCTTTGGTCAAAAGTGTGGAATATACTAAGTACTACCAGAGGATATCTGAATGCACAGTAGCTCACTCCCTGAACCAAGAGACTCCTCTGACATCCCAAACGGGTGACAAAACCCAGCAAGTTACTCTTACCTATAATATTTTTCCTTTGTTATCGTTCCCATTCACCACATAAAATAGCTAGGAAAAAAAAAACAACCCATCCACAAAAACCAAACCACAACCCACATTTGTCAATCACCTGTATTTGGACATAAACTAAATCAAGGGTTGGGTGTTTGTGGTCTTCTACCTTTTTACCGTCACTGTTTTTATTTCTGTTTATTAATTCTGTGCTGGTTTCACCAGTACTGCTGTACTTAGGAGTCATGAGAACTTTTATATGTTTGCATCTGTGGTCAGCCAGCACAGTGCTACAGCCCGGGAGGATGCTTCCTTGATGTGAGAGCAAGACAACAGTACCCAAGTGATTGGAAGCATGCAGCAGACTACCTATATAACTGGTCATAAACCACCACCTAAAGAACAAAAACCACCATTGAGCAGCACAAAGACATATTTATTAAAGGTTAGAGGAAAACATGTCAGAAGCAATGGAAGTACTTCAAAGACCCTAAGAAGATTAAACTCTTCAATTTTTGGCAATTTTTTATGCAAAGAAATAATATGTGGTAATATTTCATAGGCTGTTATTGCCCATTAATATTTTGGCTATCCAACAAGAACTAAACTGAAACTCTTTATCATTACAGGGAGAAAGAAGGAGGAAATACATCCATCTGGGGACATGTACTGCACTGACTCATTAATGGAGACTGGTGTATATCCCACCAGTATATAGAACAAAAGAATGATTCTCGGCCTGGTACTAATTTTTATTTTCCCTCAATTCCACTCCTGAACTGAAAAATTAGTTTGTAGAGTTCTGGCCACAAACATTGTGCTATCCTATATATACATACCCAAAAGATTTTCTTCTACAAAGTTAACCTCACTCCTATAAAATAGTTTATTAATAGGTGGACTGCTTGAAACATCTTTATAAGTTTGTCATGAACTCAGTTAAAGGCAGAGTTCATGAACTTGTGCGCCATCCTGCCTATATTACATCCATGTCATTCTCTCCAAAAATTTATAAACATATATATCTGGTGCACTTAGTATTTTGGAATCAAAGCCTACATTAAATCTCAAGAGGTGAAAGACTCATACGTTTGATCTACTGCATAATTTGGCACTGGATTTACCTTCTCAGTCCCCTGTGCAGTCCCCATACACCCCAAGATGTATGTGATTTAGTCAAAAACAATTACCAAGCTTAAGACAGAGCCAGCATGGGGAGGTTCTGTGGTTGGTAGTAGACAATCAGGAGAGGCAAACTATTGGCTCCTGCCACTCGCAAATCTGAAATTTCTGAAAAAGTTGTATGTTTTGACTACACCTGTTGGTATGAGGGAGAATCCAGAGGCGAAAACAAACCAAAACACAATAAACCAGCTTTAGTCAGCTAATTAAAACAACTTTAGCTCATACACCAATGAATTCTTGACTCATACATAAAGTCCAAAGCAGAAGTTTTGCCTGAATATTAAAATAATTTTGTAAGGAATTTAATTGATACAAGTGTGGAAACTAAACATGCTGCAAATTATCACATTGTGGAGTATATCATGGCTTGCAGCAAAAGGTAAGCACGGTAATGTTCACATGGCCAGAGCACCAATTTATGTCCAAATTCAGCAGAGAACTCCATGCAAAACTAAAACTTTGGATAGTGCTAAACGCACAAGTCAAAGAAAATAGTAATCTTTTTCCCTGTTGCTTTTTAGAGTGTAGTTTGCTTCAACATATTTGCATTCTGCTTGGATCTCCCAAGTTAGCCCCGGGGAAGCCCGAGGATCACGCCTTCAGGGATTTGCAGCTAAGAGAGGAGTGGGCTGCTCTTCCTCTTTGTTGCCATGGTTCCTGAAAAATAATTGGCATGTTATCACAAATGGTGACTTTCAGCAGCTGTGGCATGCGAGGATTATAGTCTTAGCAGATATATCAGTTCCCCGACTGACATTTTCAAGAGAGCTTCATGGTGCATGAGCAATATTGAAATGTGGCCTCAGGGATAAGAGAAAAGCCTCATATTTTCATCTGGAGTGTCAAAACTACTTCTGGTATGTAAGAGAGCAGGGACTTGGCTTTCAGATCACTTCTTTTTCCTGAACTAGGATACCTGGCGATCACTGCTGATATCTGCCATGAGTTCAGTTACTCAAGTGAATAAAGAATTTGTTAATGGCTCTGCTTTGCAATGGAAAATTTTGCTGATTGTTCCACAATTGGTCGCAACGCTGTTACTATTTTGATCCAATCTGGTAATTATTCAAAACTCAGTCATCAATGTATAATTTACGTGGGCTTCTTGGAAATGATAAATTTTATTTTAACAAAATTTCAGAGTGGAAAATCATGAAAGAATAAGCTGTCTATCTGAAGCCTAGATAAGAACATAATGCAAAAAATAATTCAAGTCATATGTCCATTTTATTCTCCAGTCTTTTAGTTTAGATTTTGGGATGATTTCTTTCTAATTGTGAATTCTTTGGAACTAGGGTCATACTATGTGCCTGTATATTCTGAAATTATTCTTATAGTAGCTAAACTTGAATTTGAGTCTTGGCTAGATTTTCAGGAAAACCTATCAGCCCCAATCTCTGTGTTAGAGAGTTCTGCTTCCCTCTTAGAAGACCAATCAAGGTTATGATAATTATGGAGTCTGAAGCATATTAATGTTCACATTTCAAAACGTAATTTCATATCTTCCACCTTTCTGTCCTACTTCTCAAGCTCTGAGCAGAAATACTGGAGAATGGAAGGAAGGTGGGACAGAATTTATCAACTCTCATCTGCCTCTATTGTGCCACTTTAATGAGAGGTTCACCTTCCATGTTCCTCTGTGAAACAGAGCAAGATGACAGGGGACCAAGTGAAATGAAGTAGCAGTGAAAGTGCAAAATATGTTAAAATAAGGTAGACCATGGAAAACAGCTAGAATAGATTAAATGGTGAGGAGCAGGAGGGGAGGAAGTGGATGGGTGGAAGTAGAGAGAAAATAGAAAAGTGAAGCAGATAAAACTTAGTTCAACCTGAGAAAGTACAGCAAATTTAAAGGTGCAGAAACTGAGAAGGAAAAAAGCAATCATTAAAAAGGAGAAGACCATCTTCTCAGAATACAGAAGCAGAAAACAAAATGCTGTTTAGGGAGGTGTAGGAGAAATGTTCAACAAACAAGGACACAGGGGGAGAGGACACAAGAGTAAGAAAAATAGCAACAAAAAGATCGGGAATTAAAAATGTCATTGAAGAACCGGAAAGCAAAATAAAAGATGCCAAAAAATTGGAGATAGGAAAGAAAATAGTATCAAGTAAATGAAATCATAGGTAACAAAGAAGAAAACATTTCATAAATAGAATAAAAATATGGAATAAGTGAAAGATATAAGCACACATATAAAGAATGACCACAAATGGCAATAACATTGTGTCATGTGGGTATGACTTAAGTTTGCCCGAAGAGCAGTTAGTATTTTTCTCACTGCTGGTCTGCAATTTGTTGATTAAAAGTATTAATATACTATACTAGTGAAAACATATTTCACAGTGAAAAGCTGTGTATCCATAATAGAAATGGACTTGATGTGTACATGGTCTGAGGACAGAGGTTCAGATAACTTGTTTTCTACACTTCATTGTACTCCCTTATCTACAGCTTTATCCTATCATGCTAATAGGATACCATGGTATCATGACCTGCAAGTGATTTGAATGAAATCAGTAGGACCACTTGCTGAGCAAGGACATGACTGTTGCTTTCCCTAGGGTCAACAGCAGAATCCCCATTGCTTTCAGTGAATAAAGATCAGAGAGTAAGATAATAGTGGCAAGAAAGAATGACAAAACTGTATACTATACATATTGAATACATGCACTGGGATGGGTGCACAGCAACATATTATGTTATATATAAATGTAAAATATTAGCAGCTCTTAGGAATGTGTCCCCTTTCCACCATTAAGTACAAATGAAAACCCCTACAGAACAAGGGGATGTCAAACGAATGCCTTAATATTGAGAAATATTGCACCGATAAGCACTAGCTAGACATTTTGTCCAAAAGGTATAACAAGGTCCTTTGCATATGCTATTTATAATCCAATGTTAGATAAATTATATTCACTCGGAAATTTCTAATAAATTTTTATGAAAAACATATTACTTAGTGAGTAGATTTTGGATGAATAGCAAACATTTGTTTTAATACAGTGTAAACAGATAGAATGTACATTGAGGAACAACAGCCGGAATGTGTTTAATTATACCTAGCTAATAGGCTTCCATCACCTCAAAATTCTTAGATGACCAAATGTCTATACAATAATGTATGGAACTTTTTTCACCAAATCAGTAAAACTTTTAAAGATCTTTGTCATGTAGGCAATAATCCATTGACAAACTTTTTTAAAACTTTGATCCTTCTGGAGTTACAGTATCTTCTGTTTTATATGGATAAAACACGGAAATAGTGTCTGACTTAATGCCATTAAAAAAAAATGGGAAATTTTATCATAACTGGTTTCACTGCCCTGAACTCAATGAGAATAGTTGTTTGATTCATATGTAACTTTTTTCCAACTTCGTGCACTAAGTTGAATATTGAGAAAGGAAGGAAATTATTTATTTTTTAACTGACGCTCTCATTTTCATTATACTTAGTTGTCATTTTCTTAGTATTTTGGAGACTCATTTCTGAGCACACAACTCACTAAGGGCTTGAAGTTTTGATAGTGAATTATCAAACTACATTTGTATGCAAAATATGTTTGCTAGAACTAACTTGCAGAGTATACCTCTAGGGTGAAAAAACTCCTGTAGGTCACTCAAGAAACAAAGCAAGTAGAGACATAATGGTGAAGCCAGAGAGTCCAAATGGCATGATTAAACAACAAAAGGAGACTGCAAAGAGTAGATAAAGATGTGTCAAGACTTATAATAGCTGGAAGTTTTCTGAATATTCAAATGAATTGTCTTTTAGTATCCACAGTATTAAATACTGAAACCTATATTTTTTGTTAGCATGACTAGAAAATAGCACATAAGGGAACATTTAGAATGATTAATCAAGGGGAGGAAAATGAGAAACAGTAACAAGAAGATAAATTCTATTACCATACTACCCATTCCTGTCACAAAATGCCTCTTATTGGACTCTATGCTATTCAAAATCCATCCAAGCTCATGTTTGCTAACTGAAAAAAAAATTACACAAGGATCCTCTTTCCTAGATCTTTGCTAAATGGGTCTTCTTACCTATGAATAACTTTATTTTACAGTTGTTTTGCTTGCAATGAGCCAATACACTATGGAAACATATTCATGAGTGAAAATAACTTCATATATCTTCATATATGGCTACAGTCATGCAGAAAATAGCCATCAGTCACAGTAAATCTAATAAAAAAATAATACTAGAAATGAATGTAGTGCTATGAATTTTGTCACACTGTCTGGGTTTGTGATTCAGTAGGATTTCACAAATTAAATAAACTGGGGCCTAGTATAATAAACTTTTGTGCTTACAGACAGATTAATTTACCAGATCCATCATACAGGCGCCTCATGAGCCAGGCCTGGACTCCAGCCCTACCACCCCAAAGCCACCAACCTTTGAGCACAAAGGAAGTGGGTTAGCTGCCCAAAGATGGTGATACACTCTGGTCTTCCCTGTAACTCAAGAAGGGCTGTAAATGGAAGTGAAGCTGTTTTCAGTTTAGCAGAAACGTGATGCTGTTGCTCTGTCTGCAAGAGAGGA